ACTTTTTGTTTGTTTGTTTGTTTTATCCTCACCCAAGGACATTTTTCCATATTTTGTTCAGATAGAGTGGGAGGGAGAGAGAGAGAGAAACATCAACGTGAAAGAAACACATCAAGTGGTTACCACCCACACGACCCAACCAGGGCCGGGGACAAACTGCAACCCCGGTACGTGCCCTTAGCGGGAACCGAACCCGAGTCTCTCCGGACCGCAGGCTGATGCTCTAACCGCTGAGCCAAACCGGCCAGGGCCAAACCAGCAACCTTTTGGTGCATAGAACAACACCCAACCGAGCTACACCAGCCAGGGCTAGACCTTTTAATTTTTAGAAATGGATATGAAAGGTATTCAGGTGAACAAAGATAATGGCTTGTTCAATTCCAGTCCTGAAATCTCTCTCTGCAAAACTGACCTTTAGAAACAAAAAGCCACAAATAGCTCTAACAAGAATCCCAAATTGAGGAAACTGAAGAGAACGTCTCCTCTCCAAGTTCACTTTGATCTAGGCTATTGGGAAGTTGAGTGGAGGGATGTTTTTTTTTGTTTTTTTTTTTATCCTCACCCGAGGATATTCTCCATTTTTTGTACAGATAGAGTGGGAGGGAGAGAGAGGAAGGAGAGAGAGAGAGAAACATCGACGTGAAGGGACACATCGAGTGGCTGCCACCCGCACGACCAACCAGGGCCAGGGACAAACTGCAACCGAAGTACGCGCCCTTAGCGGGAACCGAACCCGGGTCTCTCCGGACCGCAGGCCGACGCTCTAACCGCTGAGCCAAACCGGCCAGGGCAACATAATACTATTTTAAATTATTCCAAGATTTTAAAATTGTTCCAAAATTTTACATATAAAATTTTCTAAAACCAATCTAATATTTTTTTCTTTTTCCTTTTTAAAAATAATTTGAATATCATCAAGTAGTTTATGGTCAAGTAGTCCTAAGACTGGGCTCTGAAATTTCAATAATTTCACCTTTTGGAACCATAAATATAAAGAAGGAATGCTAACAACTCATTTAGAGTTAATGCTCCACATGTACAAAACAACCTGAACACAGCCAAGGCTGGAGGAGGATGTGTGAGGCCCCATGTGCTCCTCTCTCAATCTCCCTGTCAGGTTGAATCAGTTCAATCAGAAAGGAGCCATTTCCCCCCAAAATAACCTGTACTTTCATGGGGCAGGAGAGAGGAGTTGAGGGTAAAGAAAATTCCTGGTTACTTTTGAAAAAGACAGCCAACAAAGGAATTTACTGAATATATAAAGAGTTAGAAAAACATTAGGCATGATCTGGCTGGGTTGGCTCAGCAGTTAGAGAGAGTTAGAGAGTCGGCCCATGGACCAAAGTGTTGGTTTGATTCCCAGCCCTGGTTGGGGTCCTGTGGGAGGCAACCAATTGATGTATCTCTCTCACATCAATGTTTCTCTCTCCCTCCCCCTCCCTCCCACTCTATCTGAAGATAAATGGAAAAATATCCTCTGTTGAGGATTAAAAAATATATATGTATGTGTATGTATATGTATATATATGTATGTATGTATGTATGTATTAATGTTCCTCCATACTTCTAGGTACAACTTGTGGTGACCACCCACTTGATTTCCTCTTATAATTATATTAACTTTCAGGTGGCATTAAGTATCTATAGAAGCAAGTTATATAAATACAGGCCCCGCCTTTTCTGTTTAGTGTCAATGATGTGTACATAAAATTCTAACCCCAGTTACAGATCCTTCGAATGTCAAATCAAATAAGCAAACATGTTACTTTCATTTTTGTCTATTGTAGAGTGTGTCCAACCTCCTACATTCCTCAAGTGATGACTGCATGGAAGTCTTTTCCACCATGGGATCATTCAGACCTTTTCATTTTAATTTTTGTTTAAAAATATTTAGAGGGAGAGGGAGAGAGAAACATTGATGTGAGAGTGGAAACATCGATAGGCTATCCCCTGCGTGGCCCCTACCAGGGACGGACCCCGAAACCCAGGCATGTGCCCTGACTGGGAATCAAACCAGCAACTTTTTGTTTGTTTGTTTGTTTTATCCTCACCCAAGGACATTTTTCCATATTTTGTTCAGATAGAGTGGGAGGGAGAGAGAGAGAGAAACATCAACGTGAAAGAAACACATCAAGTGGTTACCACCCACACGACCCAACCAGGGCCGGGGACAAACTGCAACCCCGGTACGTGCCCTTAGCGGGAACCGAACCCGAGTCTCTCCGGACCGCAGGCTGATGCTCTAACCGCTGAGCCAAACCGGCCAGGGCCAAACCAGCAACCTTTTGGTGCATAGAACAACACCCAACCGAGCTACACCAGCCAGGGCTAGACCTTTTAATTTTTAGAAATGGATATGAAAGGTATTCAGGTGAACAAAGATAATGGCTTGTTCAATTCCAGTCCTGAAATCTCTCTCTGCAAAACTGACCTTTAGAAACAAAAAGCCACAAATAGCTCTAACAAGAATCCCAAATTGAGGAAACTGAAGAGAACGTCTCCTCTCCAAGTTCACTTTGATCTAGGCTATTGGGAAGTTGAGTGGAGGGATGTTTTTTGTTTTTTTTGTTTTTGTTTTTTTTTTATCCTCACCCGAGGATATTCTCCATTTTTTGTACAGATAGAGTGGGAGGGAGAGAGAGGAAGGAGAGAGAGAGAGAAACATCGACGTGAAGGGACACATCGAGTGGCTGCCACCCGCACGACCAACCAGGGCCAGGGACAAACTGCAACCGAAGTACGCGCCCTTAGCGGGAACCGAACCCGGGTCTCTCCGGACCGCAGGCCGACGCTCTAACCGCTGAGCCAAACCGGCCAGGGCAGTGGAGGGATGTTTTTTGACTCCAGCAAACACCCTCAATCTGTAAGGCTCTGGGAACCATTCCCTGTGCCAGTGTGAGGGTCCATCCTCCTGCCCAGAGTGCCCCCTAAAAGTTACCATGAAGTAGGGCAGCCTCTGGGGGTAGGTGCCCATGCCTCCCTCCTGGCGGTCCCCACCCACTGACAGCACAAGAGCAGCACAGGCCAGCTCCAAGCATCACCTTCCCCTCAGAGCCTGTCCCTTCTCTGTCGTGCAATTTGCCAACATGCACATGCACATGCACATGCAGTCACCCATTCTGTGCTGCTCAGGTCCTCCCCATGCTCACACACATGGCTCCAGGCATGCCAGAGGCCATACCCAACAGAGGCAAGCCTTCTCTATTTACTACTTCCCTCCTGGGAGTCTGCTACTCAGCAGCCTCTCAATACCCAGACATTTGGGGACCCCATGCCATCTTGCACTTACTGAAATAATGCTTGTTACTGTTCTTATGCTGCATCATTTGAGTAGGTTTCAGCTCCCAAATTTAATTTCAAGCTGCTTGAGGGTTAGGACTGTGTCTTTTTATCTCTTTTGAATCCCCCCTCAATGTACATAACAGTGCCCAGCACTGAGCAGGTGCTCAAGAAATGGTGGTTGGTGGTGATGGTCATGGTTGGAAGTCAGAGGGTTGCTGAATCTCCATATGTGGGTCCATCTTCGGTCACTACTGAGAGAGTCCCAAGGAGCATATAATGTCACTCTACTCCTACACTACCCCCTAAGTCCACAGCCCTTCTAGGAGGACACTTGGTTTCCAAGCACCACTTTCAAGAAGCTATGTTCAGCCCATTCACCACGCCCTCCCTTTTAGTAGGGTCCTTCTCCCTCAGGTCCTTGTGGCGAATGCCACTCTCTCTGGGGTACTACCCTTAGATATTTCTGGTGTAAATAAGTACACCTCTGAGTGGCCACCAGGAAACCTCCCTGCTGTAGAGGCTCGCGGTTTCCTCGTTTGTTTTAGGGGTGGGAATGAACAGAATACCACTAAGCATCTGGAGGCTCGATAAAAGGAGAGGGAGCATATGCTGGGACGATGGGCCCTAGGCGGGTCCCTATCTTCCAGCAGTTCCTGCCCAGACCAGGGGCTCTCATGGGAAACCCTCATAGCCACCAGAGCGGCAGCAGCATCTGAACTGCCCCCAAACAGGGTCCAAACGCACCCAGCCTTGTGCTAAACAAAAGACTGGGATCCAGGCAGAACCAGCCTTTTTCCTTTTTCTCACCCAACATGCCTGACCCCTATGTGGGGTCTGGAAAGCAGTGGGCCTTAGAACCATTCCTGTCCTTCTCTAGAGCAGCTTTATCATCTGTAAAGCAAAGGACTCGGACTGGAGATCCTGAAGCCCCTCAAGTTCGAAAACCGTTTAGTGTTTCAAAGACCTCTGGCCCCTCGCCTGCGCCCTCTGAACCTTGGGCGCGACGTTGGACCCTCGTGGGTACTGAGAACATTAGAGTCAAAGACCCTAAGCCGCAGCCAGGCTGAAAGAGCCCCCATGGTCCCGCGCCCTCCTCCGCCCGGGTTTCATAGACCAGGGAGCCAAGCTGGGGAACTCCCGGGTGGAGCGGTGCTCGGATCCCAGCAGCTTCCCGCCGCCCGGGCGCACACCCTCTCTCCGACCTCTCTTCACCCGACCCCGGCGGCGCGTGGCCCCAGCTCACCGCTCCAGAGGCTGCAGCCCTCCCGCAGGACGACCACTGCAACTGCTGCGACGGAAATCCCGCGCGCGCTGCAGCCTGGCTGTGTACAAAGTCACCATGACAACGGGACGCTTCCGGAGGTTCCGGAAGTGTCGAGATGATGGCGGAAATGAAGTCTGCAGTCTTCTGTTAAGATCAGGGCAGAATCGGGAAAACGTGAGAGAGACTGTTGATTCTAGGAAAAATGCGGCAACTGCAGGCGCGAGACCAGGGTCGAGACAGCAAGGGAACGAAGGCAGCGCATGAGCCAGGAAGCGGGGCAGCAGGGCTTCCGGCGCACAGCGTCTCTAACTACGGCGGCCGCGCAGGCCCGGCTAATCTCAGGCCTGCGCCGGAGCTGTCGTAGGCGCGCCTCCGCGCCCCGCCCTGCTGAGTTTAGAGCCGGCCGGCCAAGCCTGCGCAGTCGCGGTGGCGGGCGAAGATGGTGGAGGACGGCGCGGAGGAGCTGGAGGATCTGGTGCACTTCTCCGTGTCCGAGTTGCCTAGTCGCGGCTACGGCGTCATGGAGGAGATCCGGCGGCAGGGCAAGCTGTGCGACGTGACGCTCAAGGTACGGGTGGCTGGGCAGCGCGGGGCTGAAGGAAGAGGGACCGACTGGGGAGGAAAGAGGGGCGGGGCTGATAAGGGAAGCGAGGTCTCCGAGCAGAGTGGTGGGGAAAGGAGGTTTGAGGGAGATCGTGTCCGGCAGAGAGGAGTGGCGAGTGGGAGAGGAGGGTTACGGCTGAGTGGGGAGAGGGACTGGCGTAGCCTCCCAGCCCCTAGAAGAAAAGGCTGAGAGGAGCACCGCTGAGGCCCGCAAAATGGGAGACATTGGGGTGCCCGGCTCCCTTTTCTGTCACAGATAGGAGAAAATGGACTTGCAGCCCCTCCACGGAAGAAGGGGTGGTGGCCATCTCTACATTCTGATAGGCACCACTGAAGCACCTGCTGTTGTCTCCACAGACATTCCCCTCTGCTCCTCGAAGTTAGCTGTGTTGTAGAGGCGCAGGCTTTTCCTTCGCGGTCATTGCTTGCCCTTGACTGTGAAATTACCACCTTGTCCCTTAAGAACTTTTAAAATCGGATTTGCAAATCTTTTGGGGGCAGACAGTTACTCTGCCCGACAATGGGAGGTACACCTCAACCACCATCATTGCAAAAGTCACAGAAAATGGGCTGAGGGGCAGCGTGGAGCGGGATCCCGCCACCGCTGGTTCCCTGCTGGCATTCTGGGCGCGAGAGCCAGCCTTCCTGCTGTGCTTTGCACTTATTCCTGCTGGAGAGCATGCTGGCTGCTCCCGGGCCAAGCCGCTGAGCCATGTGGATCCCTCCAGGTGGGGTGATGCTGCTGCAAGCTGCATTCCCTGTTGGGCTTTCTCTGGAAAGCTCTCAGCATCTGTGGAGGACCCCATGTAAAAGCAAAATAACACTATACAACTATACAAAGCTGTTTTTCGCTCTTGTTATTTTCTACAGGGTTAAGGAATCCCCCCCCCCCCCCCATATTTGAGTCAGACTTCTGGAGACTGTAGAGTGGCTAAGTGTGGCTTTGGAGATTTAAGGATTTGGATTAAAATCTTAGTTGTAACCTTGGCCAAGTTACTTAATTTTTCTAAGCACCAGTTTTCCAAATGCAAAAACAGAGATGATTCCTAATTATCAGTATTAGTGCGAGAATTAAATGAGAACATCTGTAGTGTCTTTGCATAATGCCTGGCATAAGTTTCTCATCACTCTAAATGTTATAGAACAGAAAGAGTTCGGCCACCCAGCGCTAGCAGAGCCAAACGCTAAACACCGAGAATTGCAGTGGAAAAATATTGGCTATTTTATTGAATGGCACCATCCAGGAGAACAGGAAGCTAATGCTCAAAAGCCCAAACTTCCCCATGGCCTGTAGGTTACAGATTATATAGGACAAAGTCACAAGGCACCATGGGTTAGGGTGACTGTGTGCAGACTTTCACTTATTTCCCCTGAATGGTGCCACTCCCTTGTATTCAGTGATGCCCTGGTTACCCAAGTCTGGAGTCTTTAGTTTATCCTGTCCAGAGAATAAAACTCCAGTTTTCAGCTGGGGCAGTGACAGAGCAGTTACTTGCCTGGTGGGGGGGACTAGTCCTGCCTGTTTTCAGGCTTCCTTAATGCTCAAACCTCGAGAGAAACCTGTGTGTCTCCAAAAATGGAGTTTGGGAGGGGTTTCTGCAATGACTGGTCATCTGCAGCACTCAGTATACTCCATCTAAGTCAGTTATTACTCATTTGTCTGCTTTTCATCTTCCAAAATTTGGTGACATTTTTAACTAATCTCTCTCTCGTTCCGCCTCTTTTTCTTTGAGAGCCTTGCTATTCCTTGACTGTCAGTCTGAGAGGTAGTATGTATAGCAGACTCGAACCTGACCGCCTAGGTTTGAACCCTGGCTCTGCCACTTATTGGCTGTGAGAACTTGGGCAAGTTCTTTAAATGCTGGTGATTCAATTCCTTCATCTGTAAAATGGGGATCATCACCTACCTGATAAAAGTGTTAAGGTTTTGCTCTGGCTGGTTGCTCAGTGGTTAGAGCATCAGCCCTCCAACCGAAGGGTCTCGGGTTTAATTCCTGGTCAAGGGTATATATCTGAGTTGCAGGTTCGATCCCTAGTCCCGGTCAGGATCGTGTGGGAGGCAACCAATGATCCCCCACACACACACTCTATCTAGAAATCAATGGCAAAATGTCCTTGGGTGAGGATTAACAACAACAAAAAAAGAATCAACCAATAAATACATAAATAAATGGAATAAAAGAATTGATGTTTCTCTCTCCTCCCTCTTCCTCTCCCCCTCTCTTTCTCTCAAATCAATAAATACAGCCCTGGCCGGTTTGGCTCAGTGGTTAGAGTGTCGGCCTGTGGTCTAGAGAGACCTAGGTTCGGTTCCCGCTAAGGGCATCTACCTCGGTTGCAGTTTGTCCCCGGCCCTGGTTGGTCGTGCAGGTGGCAGCCATTTGACACATCCCTTTCACGTTGATGTTTCTCTCTCTCCCTTCTCTCTCCCTCCCACTCTATCTGAACAAAAAATGGAAAAATGTCCTCAAGTGAGGATTAAAAAAATAAATACAAAAAAATGTTTTAAAGTGTTGAGGTTTCCATTAGTTAATACACTTGAAAAATCATGTGGTAAATGCTCAGTAATTGTAGATATTTAAGGATAATAACTTATGGGGTTTCTAGAGGGAGTGAAGATAAATGTGTATGTTCAGCCTGCCATTTTGAACTTGTTTCAGCTTCTGATGAATTCAAGATAATTTTATTTAAACATAATGTTCATTGCCTTAAAAGAGTTTGCAAACCATTGTTCTACTTCAGTGGCTTGCATTTTTTAAAAAATATTTTTCCTTTATTGATTTTAGAGAAAGAGAAAGGAAGAGGGAGAGAGAGATAGAAACATTGTTGAGAGTGAATATTGACTGACCGCCTCCTGCATGCCCCCCACTGGGGATTGGGCCAACAACCTGGGCATGTGCCCTGACCAGGAATCAAACTGGTGACCTCTTGGTGCATTGAGCCACACTGGCTGGGCTCAGTGGCCTGCATTTTACAGATGAGGACCCAAGCATAGAAGAAGAAGGGACTTGTCCAAGGTCACAGATTAAAGTAGGCAGAGCTAGGACTAAAGACTAGACTCCTGGTCTCCGTATTTTAGGTCAAGTATTTTTCATGCTCTCCCATTGCCTTTTCTGTTACTGACAGTGACTCAAACGATTTCAGCTGCTACTATGTGTATTAATCTACCTCAGGTAGTAACATGTCATTCATAACATTTCATCTTTTCTGTCTTTCTGAGTTTTAAAGAGAGTGTGAAAGTCAGCATTAGCAGGCATGCCACAGTCTCAAACTTGACTGTCAACTCTTGACCTTAATTTCCTTTTTGGAAATATTTGAATTTAAATTCCTTGGGTGCCTGTTGGATAATTAAATAGAAGCATAACAAAAAAGGATACTACACTGGATTTTTTAAAAGTCACATTCTATATCTATGGTGACTTGACCCTCTTTGAAAAATTAAAGCAATGAACCTTCTCCCCAGAAAAATGCACATACTTAGATATGTGCAAAATTTTGCATTCAGTCTTGAGAGCAGTTCCCCTGAAGCCCATTTTTGGATCTTGGGTCATGAATCCAACTGAGTAGTATTCTATCAGAAAAAGCCCATTGTCCTCCTTGGGAAGTCATTTTTTATTTAATTTTATTTTTTAATCCTCACCCGAGGACATTTTTGCATTTATTTTCAGATAGAGCGGGAGGGAGAGAAGGAGGAAGAGAGAGAAAGAGAAACATTCATGCGAGAGAGACACATTGAGTGGTTGCCACTCACACAACCCCAACTGGGGCCAGGGACAAACTACAACTGAAGTACGTGCCCTTAGCAGGAACCAAACCCAGGACTCACTGGTCCGCAGGCTGAGGCTCTTATCCCTGAGCCAAACCGGCCAGGGCAGGGAAGTCATTTTATCTTAAAGTTTAGGAAGATAGTAGTGTAAGCCTCTTGGCAACCTATAGCATAAGGCTTGGTCAGGGTAGAAAGGCTTGCATCTCCGGAGGCTCTCATCACCTCCTTCCAACAGTCAGGTTCATGTCTTTTCTCTGGGCCACCTGGAGCCCAGTGCTCAGACCACATCTGTCAGGTTCATCTGGGTCCAGCAAGTTGGGTAGACTTCCAGATTCAATGAGTGTTCTCCACAACTTCTTTTTTTTTTCTCAGATGGAGTAGGAGGGAGAGAGAGAACAAGAGAGAGAGAGAGAAACATTGATGTGAAAGGGACACAAGTGGCTGCCACCCACACAATCCAACCATGGCCGGGGACAAACTGCAACCGTGGTACATGCCCTTAGTGGAAACCGAACCCAGGTCTCTCTGGACCGCAGGCTGATGCTCCAACCACTGAGCCAAACCGGCCAGGGCGCCACAACTTCTTATTTATGAAATCTAGATCCACCAAATTCATTATTTTTATTCTTCCCTCACCTCACTCACTTCTTTCTTTTTCTTAATCTGTGAGAGCAGAATGGGGTCACCAAACCTGCATACTATGTGCTGACCCAGATGCTTAGGAGAAAGGAGCGGCGCGCGCGCACACACACACACACACACACTTTGTTTTGCAATCACTGATCTGCTGCTATCAATCTTCCTAGAATTTCTCAAAGTCCCTTGCTGAGGCTTTGAATCCAGATTTGAGAATTTAACCTCCAGAAGGAAATGTCTTTTTCATGGGTGAAGGCACAGTATTAAGATACTTCCTTTTGACCCACTATATCCATGTACACAATTTTCACTGAAATCGGCTTCAAGCCATACATTTGTTTCGGGAATCTTGCCTAATTTGTCACACTAATTTTGTGATGGAAGAGTAGGTGGAGAAGGGTATCAGGAAGTGTTGGATGAGAATGAGGACTTGTTGATGCATGCCATTTTTATGTTATGTGTAATGCAGTGAGCAAACACCGGTATAATTATAGAGCTAGAATAATAATATTAAAAGGAGCCTTGGAGGTCCAGTATCAAAGCCATTTCTTTCACAGATGAAAAAACCCTGAAGCTTAAAGATATTAAGGGATTGCCCGAGGCAAAAAGCTAAATTACCTGTGCTCCAACACAGCTGTTTGTTAGTGGAAGCAATGGTTTTATGTTCTCTGTGGGATTTCTCACCTGCCCTACTGATGGCATGAAGCAGACCAAGGAACAAACACCATCTGCACCATGAGTCATCCCTGAGCATGGAGGGCAGTGATGTTTATGTCCAGATGCAACACCATTCTTGATGCAGGACAGAAGAAAGATGAAGGCTTTTCTGCTAGTCTTCTGGACATACTGAATTTTTAATTCTTTTGATTTTGAAATTAAACAATATTGGAAAATGTGTGCTTCTGAATATAGTTCATTTCTAGGGTTTTCTACTGACTGTTTTCAGGTACTGGTGTTCATTTTCAGCCTTGCCTGTTTGTAACAAGCAGTTAGAACTGAAAGGAAGAACATGCTCTTTGAGAGGACATGTGCACTTGTGATATCAATTCACATGCACCAAAAAGTCAGTTTTGCTCTCTTTCTTCTTCAAGTTATGTTGTGGGTAATGCTGTTGAATTTGGACATTGATTAGATGAATGAGGGCTTGATGCTGCCTCACATGTGGGTGAGGAGAGAGAATTGGAAGAATCTTGGAAAATCAGTTTTCAACCAAGCAATCTTCATGAGGTTCACCCTGAGACTTCGGGAGCTTGGCTGGCTGGCTCAGTAGTTTAAGAAGCCTGTTTCTGGAGATACTTCTTACTTCAGGTGGTTTCTTTATTATTTTGTACGAGACTCCATTGTTCATCTTGTAGCTGGTTGATGGAAAATGAGACCATGTTGTTTTTCTAAAGGCGTGTTCCCTGCCCCTCCTAAATTACAAGCATGGCATCTACTTTCCTACTTTTATTTGTTGAGTGTTGCCACTCCCATTGCCTTCTTGATATGGTACCAGCTGGCTTCCCCCACATTTGTTTAGTAAGGCCTTTTCTACCCAAACAACTGATCACATCACCACTTGTTTCCAGTTGGGGAGAATAAACCAATATGTGTGACCCAGGAGTTGGCAAGCATTTTCTGTAAAGAGCCAGATAGTAAATATTTTAGGATTTGTGGGTCATACAGTTTCAGTTGCAGTTACTCAGCTCTGGTGTTGTAGCACCAAAGCAGCTGTACGTGATACATACACGAATGGTTATGGCTATGTTCTAGTAAAATTTTATTTACAAAAACAGACATGGCCATATTCATTAGTTGTAATTGGCTGACCCCTGTTGTATACTGATATGACCTTTGTAAAGATTTTTGGAGTAGGTTACACTTTATTGTCCTAGTGTATACTTCTTCAGTTTCAACACAGAATCTAGAAATTGGAAGCATCTCTTGTTAAAGAATACAGATGAACCAGAAATGAAGAACTTTTTTTTTTCCCAGCTCACAGCAGGTGATCATGGAACTATCCTGGTTGGTGACTGAATAACTGACGTAGGAGAAGTTATCGTTAAGATTTGCATCTGATCTCTAAAGTCTTGTAGGTCTGCTGGAACTTGAAACAGGCTGTTTCCAAAGCATTAACTAAAGATACCATGCTCCCTTTCTCAGTTGAAGCTGAGGATACTTAGCTGTTTGCAGAATGGCAGGCCAGAGGAGACCGTGATGGCTCCTGTGTTCCGGTGGACCTGACCAGCTGTGTTCAGGGCCGTGAAGGTAAGGGCCAGAGTTTGGGCTCTTAGCAGGCAAAGTAGATCAATATTACAAATATGGCTCAATATGTCTGGGCAGAGTGTGCTGCATATCTGATCAGAACACAAAAATGCTTTCAGAAAATAAGCTCAGGAACAGATATTTGTAAACCTATATTCATAGTGGCTTTATTCACAATAGCCAAAAGATGGAAGCAACCCAAGGGTGCATTGATGGTTGAGTGTAGTACATTTTGTTCCATATATACAGTGGAATATTATTCAGCCTTAAAAAGGAAGGAAATTCTGACACGTGCTATAACCCGGAAGAACCTAAAAGATATTGTGCTAAATAAAATAAGCCAGTCACAAAAGGACAAATATTGTATAATTCCACTTAAAAGAAGTAACAAGAATAGTCAAATATTTACAGAAAGAAAGTAGACTGGTCATTGCTTACAAGCAAGGATGGGGAATTTCTGGCCCACGGGCCACATCAAGCCCAGGAAATCAGTACCAGCTAACATCGCACGCCTTGCCAAATTAGCCTGAACAAATAGAGCAGGCTAAGTTGATAATTTTTATGGGCCGGGAATGATGTTATAATATCCAAATGACCCTTGGCAGAAAAAAAGTTCCCCACCCATGGCTTAGGGGCTAGAGAAGTTAGGAATGGGGAAATTTGTGTTTAATGGGTACAGAGTTTCAGTTTGAGAAGATGAAAAAGTTTTGGAGATGGATGGTGGTAATGGTTGCACAACAATATGAATATACTTAATGTCACTGAACTATACACTTAAAAATGGTTAAAATGGCCCTGGCTAGTTTGGCTCAGTGGTTAGAGCGTTGGCCTGCAGTCTGTAGAGAGCCAGGTTCGGTTCCCGCTAAGGGCACGTACCTCTGTTGCAGTTTGTCCGCGGCCCTGATTGGGTTGTGTGGGTGGCAACCACTCAATGTGTCCCTTTCACATTGATGTTTCTCTCTCTCTCTCTCTCTCTCTCTCTCTCTCTCTCTCCCTCCCTCCCTCCCTCCCTCCCTCCCTCCCACTCTATCTGGACAAAATATGGAAAAATGTCCTTGGGTGAGGATTAAAAAAAAATGGTTAAAATGGCCCTGATTGGGTGGCTCAGTTGGTGGGATCATTGTCCCGGACACCAAAAGGTTGCAGGTTCAATTTCCAGTCAGGTCACATACCTAAGTTGCAGGTTTGATACCTGGTTGGGCTGGGTACGGGAGGCAGCTGATTCGATGTTTCTGTCTCATATTGCTGTTTCTCTCTCTCCCTTCCTGTCTCTGTAAAAAAAAAAAAAATCAGTGAACATATCCTCGGATGAGGATTTTAAAAAATGGTTAAAATGGTAAAGTTTATGTTAGGTATGTTTTACCACAATGAAAAAAAGAAAGAGAGAGCCCTGGCCAGTGTGGCTCAGTTGGTTGGGCATTGGCCTGTGCATGGAAAGGTTGCTGGTTTGATTCCTGGTTGGGGCACATACCTGGATTTCAGGTTCGATCCCCAATAGGAGGTGTGCAGGAGGCAGCTGATTGATGTTTCCATCTCACAACAATGTTCCTCTCTTTACCTTTTCCTTCCTCTCTCTCTCTAAAAAATCAACAAAAAAGAAAAGAGAGAGAGCACACACACTAATAAGCTCAAGAAGAGTTGCTACTGGGTGAGATTGCTGATAATGTTTTGTGACTGTGGAGACACTGGGAACAGAATCTGTCTCTCTCTAAATCCCCTGATCAGAAATGTTTGATATTAAGGAATAATCTTTCCTGTTCTTTAGCTTTTGTAATATGCCATCTCAGCTGTTAAGAGCCAAATTTTATTGGCTCATTCCAATAGTTGCACTTCAGATGGTCACGTAAAAGGAATAGACTTCTAATAGATACATATTTAAGTGGTGCACTCAAGCCATAAGCTTATTTTTACTGTGCCGATTTATAAAATCGAAATGTCATGTAACCTTGACAGAGCTATCCTGAGGACTGCTCACATGTTTTCCAAGTAAAGGTTTGCTGGCGTAGTCTACAAATTGCAAATGGCTTTCAGGTCTATATTTCCACCCTTATTTTGCTCCTAAATACTAGACCTACATTTTCTTTCTTTTTTTAAATTTTTTATCCTCACTTGAGGACATTTTTCCATTTTTTGTTCAGGTAGAGTAGGAGGCAGGGAGAGGAAGAGAGAGAAACATCGACGTGAAAGGGACACATCGATCGAGTGGCTGCCACCCTCACGACCAACCAGGGCCAACGACAAACTGCAACCGAGGTACGCGCCCTTAGCGGGAACCGAACCTGGGTCTCTCTGGATCGCAGGCCGACGCTCTAACCGCTGAGCCAAACCAGCCAGGGCTAGACCTACATTTTCATTTGTCCTGTTGATCCTCATACTCATTGTGTCTAAAATGAAGCCCTTTTTCCTTTCTAAACCATTTCTTCTTTTGTTCTCTTTGTGTGAGGTTGGCACACCATCCATCCAGTCATGTAGGACTAAAATTCTGGACTTGGCTTTGGCTTATGCTCTCTTTTAGGTGTATTTTGTGGCATTAATCACTATAATAATTGCATAATTATGTATAGTATTTTAACTCAATGAGTACAGGGGCTGTGACTAAATCATTTACTGAGGTGTTTACATAATAGGTGCTCAGTAAACCACTGTCCTAATTTAGACACTCTTCACCTTTTACCTAAGCCAGAATTTTGTGTTTTAACTTTAGTGACACTCCGAGAGAATTCTTACCCTTTAGGGAATGAACCTGTGCAGCTAATGATTATTTTTCTTCTGTCTCAGCTCTGATCATGTCATTCTGCTCTGAGTGGCCTCTCATTTCATTCTCATTCAGCATTGTGCTCAGGGCTCTAGACTGTGTCAGTGCCTTCCATGTGCCAATCACTGTTCTAAGAGCTGGGGACACAGCAGTGAGAAGAGTAAGCAAAGCCTCTGTGAGGGTGAGCTTATATCCCAGTGGGACAGGGGGCTGGCAGACAACAAAAAGTAAAATTAAACCCTGGCCAGTTTGCTCAGTGGTTAGAGCGTCAGCCCGTGGACCAAAAAGTCTCGGGTTCAATTCCAGTCAAGGGCGCATACCTCGGTTGCAGTTCGATCCCCAGCCCTGCTTGGGGTCGTGCAGGAGGCAACCAATCGATGTGTCTCTCTCACATCGATGATTGTCTCTCTCCTTCCTTTCCTCCCTCCCATTCTCTTTGAAAATCAATGGAAAAATATCCTTGGGTGAGGATTTAAAAAAATAAAATAAAAACTGATATAAAATGTCTAGTGGTGATAAGTGCTATGAAGAAAAATAAGGTGGAATAAGGGGACTGGGAGTGCTCTTTTTGTTAGAGGGACTAGAGCCAGCCTCGCTGAGTAGAGCAGAGTGAAGTGAGTAAGTAATCCATGAGCAGATCTGAAAGAAGAGTTTTCTAGAGCCCTGAGTCAGGAACATACTTGGTATTTTGGGGGAACAGCAAGCTGCTGGTGTGATAAGAACAGAGTGACCTAGGAGAAAAGTGGAAGGACCTGAGGTTGGAGAGGGAGGACCCCAAGCCCAACTTAGTTCCTTGCATGGTACAGTATGACTCATTAAATACTTGTTGAAAGTGAATGAATGAATAAATGTAGACAGTAATTATTCATTTATTTATTTATGAATGCCGATCAGGACAGAGTGTTAGGGGTACGCCTAAGAAAGGATACATTTTTCCCTAGTTCGTGAAGAGAGCACAGAATTTCACCTGCACCTTCCCCTGCTTCTCCCAGTCGGGAGATTATGCTAACAGGCAGAGGAAGAAAGACCAATTTGGCTTGTCCTTTAAAAAAAATTTTTTTTAATCCTCACCTGATATTTTTCCATTTATCTTCAGAGAGAGAGAGAGAGAAACACCAATGTGAGAGAGACACATCGACTGGCTGCCTTCTGCATGACCAGAGCCAGAGCCAGGGACCGAAACGCAATTGAGGTATGAGTCCTTGACCAGAATTGAACCCTCGACAATTTGGTCCACGGGCCAATGTTCTAACCACTGAGCAAACTGGCTAGGGCTTGGCTTATTCTTGAAGGAACTTCTGTTATTCTGCATCACAGAGAAAATAGAGGTTGGAAACTTGTCAGGGAGGCAGGAAGTAGAGCAGAGCTACTCAGCTCTTCGTGGTTTAAAATTTTTTAAATTATCATTATTGATTATTTTAGAGAGAGAGAGGAAGCGGGAGAGAGAGAGATAGAAACATCAATGTGCGAGAGATACATTGGTCCACTGCCTCCTGCATGCCCCCCACTGGGGATCGAGTTCTCAACCTGGCATGTGCCCTGACCAGGAATCAAACCAGGACCTCTTAGTCCATGGTCCGATGCTCAGTCCACTGAGCCACACTGGCCAGGCAGCTCATGGTGATTTTAAAAGGTGCTCCTCCCCACGTAAGGTAAAGCTTGTCTTTTCCCCCCATGTTCATACCATACGCTATCACTTTAAGTCATCAAGATGTCTAGGGAGAGCCTGGGTGGGGGTGGGGGTGCAGTAATGGCAGGTGGTGACTGGTTTTCAGTAGAATTAAAGGAAGGACTGCTGATTTAACTGAATCTCTGATTATTCTAAGCTGCTCACAGAAATCCATCACCGCCATCTGTGAGACGTAAGAGGGAGAAGCTTAAGGATTTCCTATTGGTGCTGACTGCCACTCCTGGTTGACTTTTCTAGGACTGCCAGCTATGTTCTTGATATTCAGGGTCCTCCAGACTTGGCCCCTCTCTGCCTTTCTCCCCTGGTTGCCCATAGTTTCCTCCTGCTGGCTCTCTCTTCATGACCTATGTTCTCCAGTTCCTGGGCCTTTGCTCTAGTATTCCTTTGGCTTGGAGTATCTGCTCACATCTGCCAGCAGAATCCTACCCACGCTTCAAGGTTCCTTTCATATTTCTTTTCCTTAAGGGGAGAGAAATGGCTAAATACTCCTTCCTCTGTCTCCTAGGGCACTTTGCTCTGTTCAGCACTGTCTTGTGGTCACAAATTTGTACTCCTGTC